GTGCATTTCTCTCTGAAATTCTGAGGAAAATGGGTGGTTCCAGACATTGTTCAGAAGAACAGCGTACCTTGATTAAAAAGTTGATTGGAGAGGGGAAAAACATATAAAGAAGTGCAGAAAATGATCGGCTGCTCAGCTAAAATGATGGCAAATGCTTTAAAATGGCAACCAAAACCTGAAAGACGTGGAAGAAAGCGAAAAACTACCATTGGAATGGATAGAAGAATAGCCAAAATGTGGCGGACTCAGCCAACAATCAGCTCCAGGAAGATGAAAGAAGGTGTGACGTTCCCTGTGAGGACTCAGCCAACAATCAGCTCCAGGAAGATAAAAGAAGGTGTGACGTTCCCTGTGAGGACTGTTACAATTAGAAGACGCCGATGTGAAGCCAAGCTATCTGCAAGAAGTCCCTGCAAAGTCCCACTGTTGGGAAAAAGACGTGTGCTGAAGAGGTTACAATCTGACAAAGAGCACATTGACCGGCCTAAAGAGAAATGGCGCAACATTTTGTGGGCTGATGAAAGTAAGATTGTTCTTTTTGGGTCTAGTGGGCGGAGACAGTTTGTCAGACGACCCCCAAACACTGAATTCAAGCCACAGTACACTGTGAAGACCGTGAAGCATGGTGGTGCAAGCATCATGATATGGGGATGTTTCTCATACTACGGTGTTGGGCCTATTTATCGCATACCAGGGATCATGGATCAGTTTGAATCCATCAGAATACTTGAAGAGGTCATGCTGCCTTATGCTGAAGAGGAAATGCCCTTGAAATGGGTGTTCCCACAAGACAACGACCCCAAACACACCAGTAAACGGGCAACATCTTGGTTCCAGACCAACAAGATGGACGTTATGAAGTGGCCAGCCCAATCCCCGGATCTTCATCCAATAGAAAACTTGTGGGGTGACATCAAAAATGCCGTTTCTGAGGCAAAACCAAGAAATAGAGAAGAACTGTGGAATGTGGTCCAATCATCCTGGGCTGGAATACCTGATCACAGGGGCCAGAAGTTGGGGGACTCCATGCAACACAGATGTACAGCAGTTCTCAGAAACAGTGCGACTACAACCAAATATTCATGAAGTCATTCAAAGGAAAGCAAAATCTTCAAACATTTCTCAGTTTATATAGTGAATGTTGGAGTTTGTAAAGAAGAATACAAACACGGCCATTTTTTTGAACCGTCTAATATTCACTTTTCTTCCATTTTTTTAGAGGAACAACACAAATTTGATGTATTTTTCTTCATGTTGTGATTTGGAATAGAATGTGTCGTGTTCCCAATGCATTTGTGTGGATGGAAATAAAAGGATTAGAAGGATTTTCAGCTTTAGTCACTTTTTTCCACACACTGATATTATTTTGAACACAACTGTATATATTTATTAAAATATATTTTGAAATATATTGAATACGGCCAAAATTGTAGCATTTCAAATATATGTCAATATATGTGGTAAGAATATTTTTAAAATCTATTTTTAAAATCTATTTTTCTTCCATGTGGGAGATCACAGCGTGGATTAGGAAGAAAGCGGCGGATCCATCGGTGCCAAATGTCAGAATGAACAGAACATGTTAACTTTCTCCCCCTCCGCTCCATTCTTTATCGGCCGCATTAATCAGCAGCAGAAATCGCTCGCAGCCTTTCACAATACATAAACAAATCGCAAAATGAAAACCAAACCCGGCCCCAAATATAGCCGAATATTTGCTTTAGATGTGATGATAATCGGCATTTGGAGAGGATGTGTGTGGGGGGGGGGGGGTCATGTAAATATTTCTGAAGGTCTGTGCAGCAATGGATGACAAAGTGCGTTTTGTGGTGATTGGGAAATTTGGTCTTCCTGTTCTGCAAAGTATCAACATTTATTAAAAAGTAGCTCCACTTTTTTGGGAAACCCCCCACCCTCCCCCCAGGGTGATCTATGCACATCGCAGGTAATGTAACAAACATTGCAGCAGATTCCAACATTTTGTTCCCCTAAAGAAGCTTCTGTTTGTTTCCCTGCATCCTGTGTCGACCGATTCTGAATGGGAGGGTCCGGTTCATTATAATCACCTGCTGCACTCTCAGAGTTCTGATGAGGAAAGTGGCGGGGTCTGCATCCCTATAGTAGTCCCATCTCTATGCTGATGACACACAAATCTATCTTTCTACTCCTCACCCTCACCCCTTCAGTCTCCTCCACACCTCACCTCTTCAGTCTCCTCCACATCTCGCCCCTTCAGTCTCCTCCTCACCTCACCCCTTCAGTCTCCTCCTCACCTCACCCCTTCAGTCTCCTCCACACCTCGCCCTTTCAGTCTCCTCTGCACCTCGCCCCTTCAGTCTCCTCCTCACCTCGCCTCTTCAGTCTCCTCCACACCTCGCCCCTTCAGTCTCCTCCTCACCTCACCCCTTCAGTCTCCTCCTCACCTCACCCCTTCAGTCTCCTCCTCACCTCACCCCTTCAGTCTCCTCCTCACCTCATCCCTTCAGCCCCTTCAGTCTCCTCAGTCTCACCACACCTCATCCCTTCAGTCTCCCCCTTACTCCTCGCCCCCCCTTCAGTCTCATCCACACCTCACCCCTTCAGTCTCCTCCACACCTTGCCCCTTCAGTCTCATCCACGCCTCGCCCCTTCAGTCTCCTCCACACCTCACCCCTTCAGTCTCCTCTCGCATTACTAAGCTACTAAGCGACATATCGGCATGGATGTCACTCCACTTCCTCAAACTCAATCTTTCCAAAACTGAGCTCTTACTATTCCCTCCAGCCCGTGCCCCCTCCCCCCCCGACTTCTCCATCAAGACCAATAATACACTCATCAGTCCCTCCCCTCATGCCAGGGTACGAGGTGTAATCCTAGACTCCCATCTGTCCTTTCAGCCCCAAATCCAATCACTGACAAAATCTTGTAGACTTCACCTCCACAACATCTCCAACCTCCGCAACATCCTCTGCAACATCTCCAAGATACACCCGTTCTGAACCTCTAAAATCACCAAGCAACGTATTCCCTCCCTTGTTATCTCTCACCATGACTATTGTAACTCCCTTCTCATTGGCCGACCTCATCGCAGGCTATCCCCTCTTCAGTCTATCATGAATGCTGCTGCCAGACTCATTCACCTTACTAATGCTGCCAATCCCTCCACTGGCCTCCACTCATTGTCCTCCACCCCTCTCTGCCAATCCCTCCACCCCTCTCTAACAATCCCTCCACTGGCCTCCACTCAGTGTCCTCCACCCCTCTGCCAATCCCTCCACTGTCCTCCACTCAGTGTCCTCCATTCCTCTCTGCCAATCCCTCCACTGTCCTCCATTCAGTGTCCTCCATCTCTCTCTGTCAATCCCTCCACTGGCCTCCACTCAGTGTCCTCCACCGCTCTCTGCTAATCCCTCCACTAACCTCCACTCAGTGTCCTCCATACCTTTCTGCCAATACCTCCACTGGCCTCCACTCAGTGTCCTCCATCCCTCTCTGCCAATCCCTCCAATGGCCTCCACTCATTGTCCTCCACCCCTCTCTGCCAATCCCTCCACTGGCCTCAATTCAGTGTCCACAACCCCTCTCTAACAATCCCTCCACTGGCCTCCACTCAGTGTCCTCCACCCCTCTGTCAATCCCTCCACTGTCCTCCACTCAGTGTCCTCCATTCCTCTCTGCCAATCCCTCCACTGGCCTCCATTCAGTATCCTCCATACCTTTCTGCCAATCCCTCCAGTGTCCTCCATCCCTCTCTGCCAATCCCTCCACTGGACTCCACTCAGTGTCCTCCATCTCTCTCTGTCAATCCCTCCACTGGCCTCCACTTCAGTGTCCTCCACCGCTCTCTGCCAATCCCTCCACTAACCTCCACTCAATGTCCCCATACCTTTCTGCCAATCCCTCCACTGGCCTCCACTCAGTGTCCTCCATCCCTCTCTGCCAATCCCTCCACTGGACTCCACTCAGTGTCCTCCAACCCTTTCTGCCAATCCCTCCACTGGCCTCCATTCAGTGTCTTCCATCCCTCTCTGCCAATCCCTCCACTGGCCTCCACTCAATGTCCTCCACTGCTCTCTGCCAGTCCCCCCACTAACCTCCACTTAGTGTCCTTCATCCCTCTCTGCCAATCCCTCCACTGGCCTCCACTCAGTGTCCTCCATTACTCTCTGCCAATCCCTCCACTGGCCTCCATTCAGTATCCTCCATACCTTTCTGCCAATCCCTCCAGTGTCCTCCATCCCTCTCTGCCAATCCCTCCACTGGACTCCACTCAGTGTCCTCCATCCCTCTCTGCCAATCCCTCCACTGGCCTCCACTCGGTGTCCTCCACCCCTCCGTCCGTAGGGTCCAATATTGAGTTGGCCCCACCCTTTGCACCTATAACAGCTTCAACTCTTCTGGGAAGGCCCCCCACAAGGTTTAGGAGGGTGTCTATGGGAAGGTTGGACCATTCTTCCAGAAGCACATTTGTCAGGTCAGGCACTGATGTCGGGGGAGGAGGCCTGGCTCGCAGTCTCCGCTCTAATTCATCCCAAAGGTGTTCTATGGGGTTGAGGTCAGGACTCTGTGCAGGACAGTCAAGTTCCTCCACCCCAAACTGGCTCCTCCATGTCTTTATGGACCTTGCTTTATGCACTGTTGCGCAGTCATTTTGGAACAGGAAGGGGCCATCCCCAAACTCCTCCCACAAAGTTGGGAGCATGAAATTGTCCAAAATGTCGCCTTAAGAGTTCCCTTTACTGGAACTAGGGGGCCAAGCCCAACCCCTGAAAAACAACCGCACACCTAACCCCCCCTCCACCAAACTTTACATTTGGCACAATCCAGTCAGGCAAGTACCGTTCTCCTGGCAACCGCCAAACCCAGACACATCCATCGGATTGCCAGACAGAGAAGCGTGATTGGTCCCTCCAGAGAACACGTCTCCACTGCTCTAGAGTCCAGTAGCGGCGTGCTTTACACCGCGGCATCTGACGCTTTGCATTGCACTTGGTGATGGAAGGCTTGGATGCAGCTGCTCGGCCATGGAAACCCATTCCATGAAGCTCTCTACGCACTGTTGTTGGGATCATCTGAAGGCCACACCAAGTTTGGAGGTCTTTAGCTATTGACTCTGCAGACAGTTGGTGACTTCTGCGCACTGGGCGCTTCAGCATGCTGACCCCGCCCTGTCATGTGACGTGGCCTACCACTTGGTGGCTGAGTGGCTGTTCCCAGCTGCTTCCACTTTGTTATAATCCCACTAACAGTTGAGCGTGGAATATTTAGTAGCCAGGAAATGTCACGGATGGACTTATTGTCCAGGTGGCCACCTATCACGGGACCACGCTTGGAGTCACTGAGCTCCTGAGAGCGACCCATTCTTTCACCAATGTTTGTAGAAGCAGTCTGCATGCCTGGGGGCTTGATTGTATACACCTGTGTCCATGGAGGGGATTGGAACACCTGGATTGGAACACCTGAATCACATGATATGGAGGGGATTGGAACACCTGAATCACATGATATGGAGGGGATTGGAACACCTGAATCACATGATATGGAGGGGATTGGAGCACCTGAATCACATGATTGGGAGGGGATTGGAGCACCTGAATCACATGATTGGGAGGGGATTGGAGCACCTGAATCACATGATTGGGAGGGCGGGGCCAATACTTTGGGCAATATAGTATATATCTGGGCTTTTTTTCTCAGAGAATAGGTGCAGGTACTCCTCCTTTCCCAGTCACCCCTTGTCTTTGCGCCCTACCCACTTCCGACCACCGTCCTTTGGTTCCACCTGCTACCCAACTTCCAGTACCACCCCTTTTAGAGAATACAGAACCAAGTATTTTTTAGTGCTAAGTAATTTGTAAGAAATTTGTTAATTATAAAAAAAAAAAAGCAGTAAAATAGATCCCTTGCAGCCAGCAACAATAGACCCTTCCCACAACAAACTACCCCCCAGCAGCAATAGACCCCAGCAGCAACAATTGTTCTCCCAGCATCCAGTATCAACAGACCCTTTAGCGGCAAGCAACATTAGACTTCACCCTTAACAGTAGATCCCTCCCAGCAACAACAATAGATCTCCCAGCAACAACAATAGATGTCCCAGCAACAATAGACCTTTCAGTACACTGTACCACCCCTCACCACTACATGCATTCTGGCTCTGGAGGAGCCGGAACTGTGTTCCCTTGCGTTCCCGCTGAAAAAAAGCCCCGGTGTATATATAGATATACACTACTCAAAAAAATGAAAGGCCAACGTTGTAATCAGAGTCTAGCATCAAGTCCATAACACTCCTGGGATATGGATCTGGTCAGGTAAGTCGCAGAGGATCTGGTCAGTGAAGTAGCAGAGGGGGTTGTTCATCAGTTTCAGCTGCTTTGGTGTTCATGAAATTACCAACAGGGGCACTAGATGGGCAACAATGAGACGACCCCCAAAACAGGAATGGTTTTACAGGTGGGGGCCACTGACATTTTTTCCCCTCCTCATCTTTTCTGACTGTTTTTCATTAGTTTTGCATTTGGCTAGGGTCAGTGTCACTACTGGTAGCATGAGGCCATACCTGGACCCTACAGAGGTTGCACAGGCAGTCCAACTCCTCCAGGATGGCACATCAATACGTACCATTGCCAGAAGGTTTGCTGTGTCTCCCAGCACAGTCTCAAGAGCACGGAGGAGATTCCAGACAAGAGCATGGAGGAGATTCAGGCAGGCAGTTCCTCTAGGAGAGCTGGACAGGGCCGTAGAAGGTCCTTAACCCATCAGCAGGACCGGTATCTGCTCCTTTGTGCGAGGAGGAACAGGATGAGCCCTGCCAGAGCCCTACAAAATGACCTCCAGCAGGCCACTGGTGGGAATGTCTCTGACCAAACAATCAAAAACAGACTTCATGAGGGTGGTCTGAGGGCCCAATGTCTTCTAGTGGTCCCAGTGCTCACTGCCCGGCACCATAGAGCTGGATTGGCATTGGCCATTGAACCCCAGAATTGGCAGGTCCACCACTGGCACCCTGTGCTTTTCACAGATGAGAGCAGGTTCCCCCTGAGCACATGTGACAGACGTGAAAGGGTCTGGAGAAGCCGTGGAGAATGTTCTGCTGCCTGTAACATGGTTCAGCATGACCGTTGTGGTGGTGGGTCAGTGATGGTCTGGGGAGGCCTATCCATGGAGGGACGCACAGACCTCTACAGGCCAGACAATGGCACCCTGACTGCCATTAGGTATGGGGATGAAATCCTTGGACCCATTGTCAGACCCTATGGTGGTGCAGTGGGTCCTGGGTTCCTCCTGGTGCAGTGGGTCCTGGGTTCCTCTTGGTGCAGTGGGTCCTGGGTTCCTCCTGGTGCTGTGGGTCCTGGGTTCCTCCTGGTGCAGTGGGTCCTGGGTTCCTCCTGGTGCAGTGGGTCCCTCCTGGTGCACAACAATGCCCGGCCTCATGTGGGGAGAGTATGCAGGTATTTCCTGGAGGATGAAGGAATTGATTCCATTGAATGGCCCCCAACGCTCGCCTGACCTAAATCCAATAGAACTCCTCTGGGATGTCATGTTTCAGTCCATCCGACGCCCCCAGGTTGCACCTCAGACTGTCCAGGAGCTCAGTGATGTCCTGGTCCAGATCTTGGAGGAAATCCCCCAGGACACCATCCGTGGTCTCATTAGGATCCTCCCCCCGACGATGTCAGGCATGCATACAAGCACATGGGGGCCACACAAACTACTGAGGACCATTCTGAGTTGCTGCAATGACATTTCACCAACATGGACTCGCCTGCTGCATCATTTCTTCACTTTGATTTTCGGAGTGTCTTTGAATTCAGTCCTCTGTAGGTCGATCATTTTCATCAACCCATCCATGTCAGTATAGATATCCAGCAGGAGATTCTTCCCCATTGAGATCTGATGGATTTTCAGAGTCTTCCTTTAATTTTTTTTGAGCAGTGTGTATAAATATATTATTATATATAAGATATATATCTATATATATATATAATATATATATATACACACACATATATACATACATATACACATACATATATACATACACACATATATATATATATACACACACACACATATATATATATATATATACACACACATATATATATATATATACACACACACACATATATATATACACACACACACACACACATATATATATACACACACACACACACATATATATACACACACACACACACATATATATATATACACACACAGATATATATATACACACACACATATATATATATACACACACATATATATATATATACACACACACATATATATATAACACACACACACACACACACACATATATACATACACACACACATATATATATATATACACACACACACACATATATATATACACACACACATATATATAATACACACACACACACACACATATATATATATACACACACACACATATATATATTTTCTAGTTTATATATTATTCTATAAAGTTTTAAAAGGGAAAAACTCCAATTTCTTTATGCTGTGATTCCGGGTTGATACATTTACATTCCGTATGTCAAGTCTCCTGTTTATGCTCTAATAATTAATATTTACTAAACTTTATAGTCGGCCCGATGAATGAATTCCAGTATTTGGAGCCAAACGCGCCGGCCAGCATCTTAAACCAAATAAAGTCACACATTCCTCGCCGGTACAAAGCCCGCGTCATACAAACAGCGCTGTGCATTGTGCAATATTACACCTCCGGCTACAGATATGTTTTTGTTTAAATCATAATTTTCGTTGCTAGACAACAGGTTTGTTTTATTTTTTTTTTTTTGGAAGTTGTCTCTTTTTTTTTTTAATTTTACCTAATCCAGTTAAGTCATTGAAGGAAGATATTTCCCAGAGGCAAGAGCCACAGGAAGTCATTTTTTCCTATTGATTGAGAATCCGTGAACAGATCCCTCCATTAAAAAAAAAAAAAAAAAAAAATCTTTTAAAAGATAAAACAAGAACATTGTGAAACCTTTTTCTTGGCGCGCGAAGCTCTCGATGGATATGATTTATGAAAACAGTTGCCTGTGAGTAGCTTAGAGGGACAATCTCTAATATTTGGAAGATTTCTCACTGGCTACTTGGGCTCTCTGGTAACTTGTCCCTCCAGATGAAGAATTGGATTTTCGGCCCGGGTTTTCTCTGCTGGTATCAATACAATTTGGAATTGAAGATCTGAAGGCATTGAATCCTTCATGTTTGCAAACTGAATAGGTTGCCTTTGAGAGGAAATGTTGCTTGAACCGCCCTCCCCCCTCCTCCTGCTCTCACAAGCACGTCTAGGCGAATGGATTTGCTCAAGGCAGTCCATGAACACTTGAGCAGGCATTGGCCTATATGTAGACAGGAGCCTAATGTCTTGGTTGGGTATGGCATCTAAAGTTGCTGCTTAGTCCTGTAAGAGTTGTCATGCTGTGGTGTGTTTGGCCTGTGGAAGGGGTTGGGCCAGGAGTGGTTGGAGATTGGTCTACACATTGGTCTATAAGAGGGTTCTGCTATGCAGCGGGCCCTAACTTGGGTCCATGTCGATAGGTAGACCATAGAGCAACTGATCCACCCCTCTAACAGAACCTCTGTCACCGGCCACCAATCTCCAACCAATGACCAATCTCCAACCACTCCTGGCCCCACACAGGAACCCATGGGAGTGGATGGCTGGTGACAGAGGTTCTGCAGGAGGGGTGCTTCGGTTTCTCTATGGTCTACCTATCTAAGTGACAGGGAGACAATTTAAGGCCTGCTGCATAGCAGAACCCTGTTATAGACTGTGCGTAGACCATGGGTGTATGAAGCAGTCCATGAACACTTGAGCAGGCATTGGCCTATATGTAGGCAGGAGCCTAAAGTCTTGGTTGGGTATGGCATCTAAAGTTGCTGCTTAGTCCTGTAAGAGTTGTCATGCTGTGGTGTGTTTGGCCTGTGGAAGGGGTTGGGACAGGAGTGGTTGGAGATTGGTCATGGGAGTTGGTGACCAGTGACACAGGTTCTGCTGGAGGGGTGGATTGGTTTCTTTATGGTCTACCTATCTCAGTGACAGGGACCCATGTTAGGGCGCACTGCACAGCAGAACCTTCCTATTGACTGGTCTGAACCATGGTGTACCAGGACTCATGAATTATACAGTAGCTTCCCACCATGTCCTGTCAAATGGACTGGGCTTGGACCACGGGTGTACCAGAACTCATGAACTATACAGTAGCTTCCCACCATGCCCTGTCAAAATGGACTGGGCCTGGACCACGGGTGTACCAGGACTCATGAACTATACAGTAGTTTCCCACCATGTCCTGTCAAAATGGACTGGGCCTGGACCACGGGTGTACCAGGACTCATGAACTATACAGTAGTTTCCCACCATGTCCTGTCAAAATGGACTGGGCCTGGACCACGGGATGTACCAGGACTCATGAACTATACCAGTAGTTTCCACCATGTCCTGTCAAAATGGACTGGGCCTGGACCACGGGTGTACAAAGACTCATGAACTATACAGCAGCTTCCCACCATGTCCTGTCAAAATGGACTGGGCCTGGACCACGGGTGTGCCAGGACTCCCACCGTATACAACAGCTTCCCACCATTCATCCATCAAAATATCCAAGTACACATGTGTAGGCAGGTGCCTAAAATCTCCACTGGGTATTGCATTTAAAGTCGATGTTCAGTCCTGTAATGGTTAACATGATGTGGGTGTGTCTGCTGTTTGGTCTGTGGATCATCCCGTAGCAGGGGGATTTAAGGAGAAAGAGGTTGGGCCAGGAGTGGTTGGAGATTGGTCATGGGTGTGGAGATTGGTCACAGGAGTGGAGATTGGTCACGGGTGTGGAGATTGGTCATGGGTGTGGAGATTGGTCGCGGGTGTGGAGATTGGTCGTGGGTGTGGAGATTGGTCACGGGTGTGGAGATTGGTCATGGGTGTGGAGATTGGTCATGGGTGTGGAGATTGGTCACAGGAGTGGAGATTGGTCATGGGTGTGGAGATTGGTCATGGGTGTGGAGATTGGTCGCGGGTGTGGAGATTGGTCGTGGGTGTGGAGATTGGTTATGGGAGTGGAGATTGGTTGTGGGTGTGGAGATTGGTCGTGGGTGTGAAGACTGGGGTGGTGCCGGAGTAGTGCTTTGGCCCCCCGGCCTCAAGGGAGTGCTAACTCACCCATGAAGCAACAATTATTGTTATTCATTATTATACAGGATTTATATAGCGGCAGAAGGTTTGCTCAGCGCTGTACATTATAGTGTGGACAGAACATGAGACAATACAGTAACAATTACAATACACGAGGGAGTTCAAGGGCCCTGATCCTTGGAGCTTACAATCTAGGAACAATAAAAATTAACAGACGGCAGGCTTTGTTTACCACCAAAAGTAAGGAGTGATCACTGGATTCCAACATCATTCCGTCCCATATGGAAGAAAAATATATTTAAAATATATTTTAAAAATATTCTTCCCAAATATATTGATATATATTTGAAATGCTACAATTTTGGCCGTATTCAGTATATTTTAAAAACAAAAATTAAATAAAATTACATATATATATATATATATATATATATATTATATATATACATATACACATATTATATATATATATATATATATATATATAAAAATAAATGCGTTTTTATATATAACAAAATATATGAAAAACTATTTTTTAAAATTAATTTTTTTTAAATATATTTTTTCAGATTTTTTTTGAATATGAAAAAAAATGTAATATATTATTTTCACATATATTTGTAAACGCATTCCAAATATGTAGATTAAATGTATTTCTAAAGACATACAGTTATTTGAAAATGTATAAAAATATAAAAAACAAATTTCAACATACAGTATATATATATAAATAATTTTTTGTTTTCATTTATTTATTTATTTTTTTAAGTATATTGAATATACAGCCAAAATCTTAGTATTTCAGCTATATGTCAATATATTTGGGAAGAATATTTTAAAATATATTTCAAATATATTTTTCTTCTATGTGGGTTAGCACCGCAGTACTTTGGTGCGGTGCCTCTTTAAAAAATGGTGCACTAACTACTTTTGTGCAAAATGAACAAGCAAAATGTCTAAGCAGTGCGGATTGAGCCGTAGGCTTTGCATGCCTCAAATCGCATCCTCACCACAAAAGGTGCAGGACCCCTTTTTTTAAATCCGCACCTGAATCGGGAGAAAACCCATGTGAGGAGATTTCTGCCAAAACGCATTGCGTTTTGAGGATCAGTTTAGGTGAGTTATTAAATGATCACTGACATCCCGCACCAGATCACATGAACGACAGGCTATGGAAACATGGTGCGGGAAACGCATAGGATTCGCAGAGTTTCCCGCACCGCATTGGTGTGATCCCAGGCTGATACAGAGACACTGGGGGGCGTACGGCTCGCTTCTAAGTCGCCATAATGTTGGTGTCACATGAACGCGGATCCGCCATTAGCGAGCGCCTACACCGGAGAGTATAAAAACCGGAGAGAGCAAAAAGGCCCTGGGCGAGTTGGCCCCGCCCACTTCTTCATTGATTTGATTGGCCAGAATAAATTAATATCCTGGCCAATGAAATGAATAAAAACAGCAAAACACGAGAACGCATCTAATGCCTACACGCCCAGGAGAAAGGGCCGCGTTCAGAATAGCTGGACCAACGCGCTGTCTGCATGGGGCCTAATGCAGGCCATAGACAGGTCGAACATTGGCCGATTTTTCGAACGATAAATGAAAAATTGGTCGTTCATTCAGCCAACGTTACCACCAACGGTTTAAAAAAATCGGCCGACTAAATCATGAAGTTCACTCTATAACTTCTGTCCCTTTGCAGGTCACGGCTCATGCGCCGATTTTTTATCATTAAAAAGCGATCGGCCAATTTGCCCGTCATTGCCGGGAAAATCATCCGTGAATTTTCCAACATGACCGATCATCTCAAATGCAAAAAAAATCGAAAAAATGGCCAACCAATTAACCCACCAACAGTGCGAAAATCTGCTAATTTTTTTTTTAGGCCGAAAAATCGACCGATTTTCGAACCGTCTATGGCTGGCATAAGGTTGCCGTCACACCAACTGGATGCCATTCGGACTTGCGGTGCAACTTGCGAGTCGCAGACGACTCTATGCAGGTCGCACCTGAAAAGGAGTTCTTCAGAAATCGGTGCGGCACCGACGAAGCGGGAATCTCACCGATAGGACCGCTGTCATTGCGGACAATAGGGTGCGGTCTGCAGCTCGCCTGGCACGGCAAATCGCATGGCAAGTCGCACCCGGGGTGTAAGGCGATGAGTGTTGGGGGCGGGGGGGGGGGTAAAAGCTGGCGATTCAGGATGGAGTTTATAAACACCAGAAATGTCTGAGACTCGGCGATCAGAAACGGTCGTCCTGCGCGGCGAGGTTTTTTCCCCCCCTTAGTCTCCAGCATTATGTCGGCGGTGAAATGAAAGTATGTTGATTTTTATCATCGATCGAAAACACATAACTCTGGGCCGGTGGAGCCGCAACACGAACCGCATTGCTAACTGTCACATTCTGCCTTCCAGGAGCAACAAAAAAAAAAAAAAACAAAATGCTGGCGGCTGGGCCGCTGACTTTCTCCGAGAGATTTAATGCGACACCCCGATGATCCCGTCCAATCACAGAGCAATTCGTCTCACTGATTTATTTCTGCCGGGTCTTATAAAGTGAGCGATCGTTCACCTTCTACAGGATAATTGTTTAACCTCTTAGTGACTGAGAGGAAATCCAATCCGAATGCAGAGAATGCAATTTTACCAACCAAATTATTAATTCTAATATTATTATTATTATATTTTTTTTCTATTATTATTATTATTATTTTTCTATTATTATTTCTATTATTATTATATTTTTTTCTATTATTTCTATTATATTATTATATTATTTATTTTTCTATAGATTGTAAGCTCCCAGGATCTGGGCCCTCCTATCCCTCTTGTACTGTATTGTTGCTGTATTGTCTCCCGTTATATTGTAAAGCGCTGAGCAAACTGTTGGCGCCATAAATCCTGTATATTAATAATAATAATAATTATAATTATTATTTATATTTTTCCTATTATTATTATTTCTATTATATTATTATTTTTTTGTATATTATTATTATTTCTATTATTATTATTATTTTTATTATCATTTCTATTATATTTTTTTTCTATTATTTCTATTATTATTATTATTATAGATTGTAAGCTCCGAGGAGCAGGACCCTCCAATCCCTCTTGTATTGAACTGTATTGTTGCTGTATTTTCTTCTGTTATATTGTAAAGCGCTGAGCAAACTGTTGGTGCTATATAAATCCTGTATAATAATAATATTTTTTATTATTATTATTATTTTTTTTTTTTTTTATTAATTATTTTATTATATTATTATTTTTTTTTTTTTATTATTTTTTTCTATTGATATATTATATTTTTTTTCTATTATTTTTCTATTATTATTATTATTGCTATTATTATTATTATATTTTAATTATTTTTCTACTAGTAATTATTATTAAAAAATTATTTTAGATTTAAGCTCCGAATTTATCAGGGCCCTCCTATCCCTCTTGTATTCAACTGTATTGTCTCCCGGTATATTTGTAAAGCGCTGAGCAAACTGTTGGCGCCATAAATCCTGTATAATAATAATTATTATTATATTTTTCCTTTTATTTATTATTTTTAATATTTCTATTATTATTATTATTATATTTATTTTATTATTATTTTTCTTTTCTATAATTATTTTTTTATTATACAGGATTTTTATAGTGCCAACAGTTTACGCAGCACTTTACAATACAAGGGCATATCATCACAAATCTGCACATACATCATGTATTATACCGTTTTTTTTTTTTTGTTTTTTTTCAGGACAAATTGACCTTCATTGGGTGTAAATGTTAATAGATATCTCCTGGTGGTTATTATCCAATTTGATAAATCAATTAATTATTAATGATCATTATAACTACTAATGATGATTTTAATAATTAAAGATTAAGTGTATTAAATATTCATATTTTTATATAATTAGATTACTTTGATTATTAATGGTTATGATCAAATTATAAATCATCGATTCATTATAACGATACATATTAATGATTATATTAATAATTGCATATTGAATATATAAAATATTCATCATTATTCATTTCCATTATTAATGATTATTATCAAAAGTAAAAATGTGAAAAAAATAGTAAAAAAAAAAAAAAGACATTTTTTAAAATGTACTCTAAAGCCAGCTAAACTCTAAAGAGTTTCTTCTTTTTTAAGAATTTTGCACCATTAGTGGGCCACAGAAACGGATGATTTTCATAACCAATCCCCTCCCAATCAGGTGATTCAGGTGTTCCAATCCCCTCCATATCATGTGATTCAGGTGTTCCAATCCCCTCCATATCAAGTGATTCAGGTTGTTCCAATTCCCTCCCAATCATGTGATTCAGGTGTTCCAATCCCCTCCATACCATGTGATTCAGGTGTTTCCAATCCCCTCCATACCATGTGATTCAGGTGTTCCAATCCCCTCCATATCATGTGATTCAGGTGTTCCAATCCCCTCCATATCATGTGATTCAGGTGTTCCAATCCCCTCCATATCATGTGATTCAGGTGTTCCGAACCCCTCCATATCATGTGATTCTGTCAGGAATGGACTCAGCACTGGTGGTGTGGGCTGCAGTACCAGGGCTGACCAGCGGGTGCTCTCAGCAGCCAGAAGCTCACTCCTGTAGTCAGCCAACACCTGGGGCTGATTGCAGGAGGTGTTGGAAATGACCAGGCCTGTGATCTGGGCCTTGGTGTATGTTTCCCATGAGCCCTGTACCTGGTATCCTGTGTTCCTGCCTCGTTGCTGACCCTGCTTGATCCTGACCTCTGCTGACCGTCTCCTGTTGAACCCCTGCTTGCCTGACCATCCTTCTGCCTGATCCTTGGTACCGCGCGCTGCCCACTACCTGCTGAACCTGGCTTGTGACCCCGACCATTCTCTGCTTGCTCCTCCTGTACCACGATATGTACTAGGAGGGGGGGTGGATTTGTACTGGAAGGGGGGATTTCAGCGGGGGTGGATTTGTACTGGAAGGGGGGATTTCAGCGGGGGGTGGATTTGTACTGGGAGGGGGGATTTCAGCAGCGGCGGTGGATCTGTACTGGGAGGGTGGATTTCAGCAGGGGTGGTGTTTTGCATTTTTGCCGCGTCTTTGATGCGTTTCGCATTTTTTTTTTTTTTTACTTGTTGCTAGGCAGATTAAAAAGCAAAATGCATCAAAAACTACATCCTTTTCTGCCGCGTCTCTATTGAAGTCTATAGAACCAAAAAACTCAACATTTTGCATTTCCATAGGAAATCATGTTAAATGGACTGATGTGAACCTCGACCTAATATCAAAGACATGTAGTAGAATAAAGTTTGGGTCTAAATTTATGAATTTTTTTTTTTAATATATGTTTTTATAGCAAAAATCTATTTTTTACATTTTTTTAATACATTTTATAGCAAAAAATCTATTTAAATTTTTTTATATGTTTTATAGCAAAAATCTATTTTTTTTTAATTTTCAGGGTTTTTTTTTTTTTTTATAGCGCAAAAAAATAGAGGTGGTCAAATACTGCCACAAGAAAGCTCTCCGTGTGTGAAAAAAAATGATGTAAATGTCATGTGTGTGTGTGTGTACAGTGTTGCATGACTGCGCAATTGCGCTGTATCGCAAATAAAGGCCCTGAACATGGGGGGGTAAATCTTTCGGAGGACAAGCGGTTAAACAAAAGCAAATATTTATTTTGCGACACAAAGTAATGAATTCCATACATGGACTTACCGAAGTCGCTGGCGCAGTACTGGACCCGCATGGTCTCGGATTTTGCTCGATTTCGCACTGAGTGCAGATCTTGGTGACTGTAAGAGAGAACAACGTATCATGAATGTGAGAGCGGTGGGAGGCGGCCACAAATGGCGGATCTGTGCGTCAGGAAGAAGAATCGGCGAGGATGGCTGCGGAGCGCATTAGCCGTCGTTTGCAGATAATGCGTGGCGCAGGCTCCCAGCGCGCCGGTTCTACATCCATGTGTTTCTACAGTTGATCGGAGCCGTGCCGGGGGGGGGGGGGAAGGGCCCCCCACTTACTGCGAAGCGTCTGGAAAAATCCAAACTTTTCCCAAAAATAGTTTTGTTTTTTTTTGCTTTTGTTTCTGGAGATCTGGATGAGGGATACTTTGTATCATTCCTGGAGGAAGTCATGGCTTCCTTCATACAAAAGTCCTTCTTAGAAACATGGGTTTGGTCGTTACATTGTGACAGTTTTTTTTTTAAATCTCTTGTTTGGTCATTTAAACTCGGTTCCCACTTATGCAAATTCTGCAGTGCGACTACAGCGCCTTGAAAAAGTCTTCACCCCCCTTGAAATGTTCCCCGTGTTGTCGTGTGACAACCAGATCCATCAATGTATTGTATTGGGATTGGATGTGACAGACCGATACAAAGTGGCACATAATTGTGAAGTGGAAGGAAAATGAGAAATGGCTTTCAGCATTTGTGACCAATAAATCTGTGAAAAAGTGTGACGTGCATTTGTATCCCGCCCCCTTTACTCTGATACCCCCTAACTAAAATCTAGTGGAACCAATTGCCTTCCTTTAGTAAATAGAGTCCTCCTGTGTGTCATGTGATCTCAGTATAAATCCAGCTGTTCTGTGAAGCCCTCAGAGGTTTGTTAGATAACATTAGTGAACAATCAGCATCATGAAGGCCAAGGAACACACCAGACGGGTCAGGGATAAAGTTGTGGAGAAGTGTAAAGCAGGGTTAGGTTATAAAACAATCTCCCAAGCTTTGACCATCTCCCGGAGCACTGTTCAATCCATCATCCGAAAATGGGAGGAGTACGGCACAACTGCCAACCTACCAAGACATGGCCGTCCACCTAAACTGACCAGCCGGGCAAGGAGAGCATTCATCAGAGAAGCAGCTTCGGAAACAGCGGATCACCGATCAACGGAAAGAGCCGAAGATGTCGGCTCGGTCATGTGATCAGCTGTGTCCAATCACAGCTGATCGCATGTAAATAGGGAAATGCTAGTTATCGGCATTCCTCTCCTCATTAGCTGTCACGCTGACAGAGGAGAGGAGAGCCGGTAATCGGCATTCATCAGAGGGGACATCTACACTGATCATCAGGGCACTGCTCAGTGTAGACCCATCAGTGCCACCTGTCAGTGTCCATCAATGCCACATATCAGTAGGCAGGAAGGGGGTAGAAGTGTCCGGTAGGCAGGAAGGGGGTAGAAGTGCCCGGTAGGAAGTGGGTAGAAGTGCCTGGTAGGCAGGAAGGAGGTAGAAGTGCCCGGTAGGCAGGAAGGGGGTGGAAGTGCCCGGTAGGCAGGAAGGGGGGGTAGAAGTGCCCGGTAGGCAGGCAGGGGGTAGAAGTGCCCGTTAGGCAGGAAGGAGGTAGAAGTGCCCGGTAGGCAGGAAGGGGGTAGAAGTGCCCAGTAGGCAGGAAGGGGGTAGAAGTGCCCGGTAGGCAGGAAGGAGGTAGAAGTGCCCGGTAGGCAGGAAGGGGTGGAAGTGCCCGGTAGGCAAGAAGGGGGTGGAAGTGCCCGGTAGGCAGGAAGGGGGTGGAAGTGCCCGGTAGGCAGGAAGGAGGGTAGAAGTGCCCGGTAGGAAGTGGGTACAAGTGCCCGGTAGGCAGGAAGGGGGTAGAAGTGCTCGGTAGGCAGGAAGGGGTAGAAGTGCCTGGTAGGCAGGAAGGGGGTAGAAGTGCCCGGTAGGCAGGAAGGGGGGTGACAGTGCCCAGGAGGCAGGAAGGGGGTACAAGTGCCCGGGAGGCAGGAAGGGGTAGAAGTGCCCGGGAGGCAGGAAGGGGGTAGAAGTGCCCGGTGGGCAGGAAGGGGGTGGAAGTGCCCGGTAGGCAGGAAGGGGGTGGAAGTGCCCGGTAGGCAGGAAGGGGGTAGAAGTGCCCTGGTAGGCAGGAAGGAGGTAGAAGTGCCCGGTAGGAAGTGGGTACAAGTGCCCGGTAGGCAGGAAGGGGGTAGAAGTGCTCGGAAGGCAGGAAGGGGGTAGAAGTGCCCGGTAGGCAGGAAGGGGGTAGAAGTGCCCGGTAGGCAAGAAGGGGGGTGACAGTGCCCAGGAGGCAGGAAGGGGGTAGAAAGTGCCCGGGAGGCAGGAAGGGGGTAGAAGTGCCTGGTGGGCAGGAAGGGGGTAGAAGTGCCCGGTAAGCAGGAAGGGGGTAGAAGTGCTCGGAAGGCAGGAAGGGGGTAGAAGTGCCCGGTAGGCAGGAAGGGGGTAGAAGTGCCCGGTAGGCAAGAAGGGGGTGACAGTGCCCAGGAGGCAGGAAGGGGGTAGAAGTGCCCGGGAGGCAGGAAGGGGGTAGAAGTGCCTGGTGGGCAGGAAGGGGTAGAAGTGCCCGGTAAGCAGGAAGGGGGTAGAAGTGCCTGGTAGTTGCAATTTTGTTGTTTAATAAATATGGCTACTATGGCCTTTTAGACTCCAATGCGGGTCAACGTTGTTTGTGGTTTGGGGGGGTCACAAGAGTAGGTGGGGGGGGGGGGTTAAAAATGTCAGAGCCGCCGTAATATCTCCAATACCTTAGTCATGGTCTTGGCTCTTAGTAGCTCCTAATATTTTTCATGATGTCAGATTTTGGAAATCGTTTGTAGCGTAGGAAGTGCTGCCAAGATGCCAAGGTGTATAGCTGGCATCAGCAATTTCCAAAGAAAGGTCCCGACTTGTCGAGCTCTTGTTGTAGATGTGCAGTATGGCCTTTATTTTACCTCTCCAGGGGGAGGGGAAATGATATTTGTGGCTTTTTCCAGCTACCTACAGAAGGTTGGGATTATCTGTGAATGACCAACACTGGACGGAGGTTGTCTGCATCCAAGACCAATCATTGGAAGGCTTGGGATGGGGACTGGACCAATTGGGTTAATTATAGTCTGCATTAGGTGGTCCCGTAAATAGATCGTGGTGTATGATACGTGACTCCTTTTGGGGGTCTGGCCTGGTAGGACTCTGACGTCACTTCAGTGAAGGAGAATGTTGGATGGGAAGGTGCACCCGGCTCCATCACCGGGTGAAAAGGTAATCATTGTTTATGGAAAATGCCGACCCATCTTAGCCTTGAAGAAGGGGACGGAATTCCCCCCGAAACACGTTGGCTCAATTTGCTCATTCCCAGGGGCGGACTGACAACTCATGGGGCCCCCGGGCAATAGGGGATCATTGGGCCCCTGTGTCCTTGCCCAAACTCAAAAACGCCTATGAAAAAAGTACCAGGGGCATCTAATGGGGCCCCCTACTGACCCCAGGCCCTCGGGCAATTCCCTTGTTTACAAATGGTCAGTCCGCCCCTGCTCATTCCATATTCTCAGTAAATGATTGTTACCTTTTCCAGTGTAGCATCGCTCCGTACATTGGGTGCTCCTTACTTCCCATACAGTGATTGGAAGGTAATCTCTGCTTCAGCAATTGCAAGTGAGCGGCTGTGAATAGTGAGCGAGCTGTCAACCTGCCATTGCTGTCAATGGGTTTTCCACCTGCAGCTCATTGCAGGGAACCCTATTGAGATTCCCTATCTAATCACTAATGGCCCCAAGTGTGAGAGGGAGATGATATGTCTCCTCCTTGTCACCTGTATTGTCCCTGAGAAGTCCACACCACCACTGCATGCAATCAGGAGTGTATAGAATTTGTGCTGCCCTAGGCAACAGAAAACATCATTCTTCCCCACTGACCCCCAATGTAAGGGACATTCTTCCCACTGACCCCCAATGTAAGGGACATTCTTCCCACTGACCCCAATGTAAGGGACATTCTTCCCACTGACCACCAATGTAAG